AAAGTTGTTGGGAGATGGGTGCCACATCACCTTACTGATGATGCCAGCGCCACATCAAAATGCTAGAACATCCGCCTTATTTGCCAGATTTGGCAATGTGTGACTTTTGGCTATTCAACAATTTGAAAATAAATCTGCGTGGCAATTAATCAGTGTGTTGAAGACATTCCAAAAACTGACTAGCTAGAAGCATTTCATTTGTGGAAGGTCGGACTACAGAAATGCATTGATGCTGGAGGAGAATACTTTGAACATAAATAAAAAAGTTTTCTAAAAATAGTTTTCAGTTTTCGTGTATCTCAAAATATATATATAGCATGGCCCATGTATTAAATATAAATGTCATTGGTATGTACATTGAGAAATGCCTTCGTGGTGGCCGAAACGTCAATAAAAGTAATTGGCCGATATCTAACTGACTGGTTTGTATCTTGAATACTTGTGAAATGAAATAAAATGAGTCCATTTTTGTCATCTTAATCTTTTACTGAAACTTGGAAATTATGTATGAAAAATAATATCAGACAAATGTCTGCCTCTAGAGGTCGCGCAAATCTGAGCCTTCTTGATTACATTTTCTATCACTTTTTGGTAGGTTTCGGGAGGAGTATTTTCAATCACATTCGTAATATTGTTCTTCAGCTTTGCTTGTTGGCATAAACCCTATTTTTCAAAAATCCCCATAAAAAAGTCAGGAGGCGTTAAATCCCGCTGACCGTGGTGGCCAGTTGACATCACCAAATCGAGAAATTAAACGTCCCGCGAATATTGTTCGCAAAAGATTACTTGTTTGCCTAGCTGTGCGACAAGTTGCCCCGTCCTACTGAAACCACATGTTTTGCAGGTTAAATTGTTGGATTTTAGGAGCCAGAAAATTTTGCACCATATCTCTGTAGAGCTCGCCAGTGACAGTAAGGGAATTACCTTCAGCGTCTTCAAAGGAGTAAGGTCCAATGACACTTCCATACCAAACACTGCACCAAACTGTAACTCGACGAAGATGTAGTAGTCGTTGATGGATGACACGAAGGTTCTCTAATGTCCAGATTCGACAATTCTGCTTCTTAACAAATCCGTTCATATCGAGGCGGGCTTCATCGCTCATTAGCAGTTGTCGGTAAAAATCGTTATTTTGGGTGTTAAGCTGCAATATTGCCTTACTGTATTGTCGGCGACATTTTTGGTCAATAGGCTGTAGTTCTTGGGTTAACTGGATTTTGTGTGGCCGTAAATGCAAGTCGTTTTCTAAAATAGTGCATAATGACGTGCGACAAATCTCAGTTCTTGAGAACGGTGTTTGGCAGACGTCTCAGGGCGCTCCACTACAGTTTCACAACTCTCTCGATATTTTATGGAGCACGACAGTTCGATCACGGCCCGACCTTGACAAGTCTTTAATTTCACCTGTTTGTTCAAATTTCCGTACCAACTGACGAACGGTGTTGACATTGGGCACATTATTTCGACTTCGACCGATATCTTGTCGTGGCTTCCGAATCGTTACAACAATCGACCCATTATTTAAGTAAAACGTTTTAACAATACGAACACATTGTGGGGTCGTGCAGCACTCCATGGTGAATAGGACACATGTGCTTTAAACAACTAATACGGCGCCAACTACTGAAATGCGTATAACAAAAATGGCGCGTAATTTAAATCAGCCAGTTATATATTGGCCACCCTCGAATGAGAACAAAATGTCAAAAACGTATTTTATCCTGCTTAAAGGTCTTTATATGCAGCCCACACTTCCTTTACGGGCTTGTACTTACCCAATATTACAGTACACCATATAGGCCAAGAAATACGGAGATCTTGTACAAGGAAATCTTACAATTTTGGCGACAGTGAATTTTTTTGGTGGTATCGTTAGAATATTGCTTCCTAACAATAAATTCAAATTAGGATCATGATAGGGCTGGAGCATTCGTTACCATTTTGGTAAACACGTTTGGTCGAAAATATCGAAAACCATCGATCCTATGTAAACAAGTAATGAGAACAATTTTGTAGAGCACTGAATTCCTATTCACTTTGCATCTATTGAAAATTTGTCGTATAGTCATCAGATTACGAGAAATTGAAGGGTAAAAGTATACGTAATGATATTTCTGCTTATAATAGCTAAACTAAGAATCTAAAAGTATAAAACACCACTATGATTGGGAGGACTTGCTTGAATATCTCAACTCGCCTGAGAGGTAATTCTCTTAGGTGATTTCAATGCTTATAATGAGCTTTCGTTGGGCTTACACAGTACTCTACCTTGACTAACAAAAAGAGTCTTAGCACTCATCCGGTTTCGATGGATGGCCGACTTCTACCAAAGAGCTGGTCATTTCGGGTGGTCGGGGCCCAGATCACCGAGGATTGATCTGGCAAGAACACATCGCGTTAACAGCGCTAGCTGCTGTGAAAAAGCTTGTTTAGGGCTAACAAGTACTTTTCTCCGCACGAACTCCTCACTCTATACATGGCCCAGGTATGACATAGCCTCAAGTGTTGCTCACACGTTTGGTGTGCTACCGCCCCGACTACGTAATTTATGTTCGATGCTGTCCAGAGAAGGGCTGTTCGACTGATCGATGACTCTTCTCTAAAAGACAGTCTCAGGACCCTTTCACACCGGCGAGCCGTCGGCAATCTAGCTCTCTTCTACCGCTACACCAACGGGCTTTGCTCCGCAGAGCGCTATGATACTGCCGCCCAAACGTGTCAAACTTAATCCATCCAGAATTACCTTTATTTCACGTTGAAATAGCTTCATAGTCATTACCTATGATCAACAATACCATTTTAAAATGCACACATTTTTCTAATTCCGTATGCATGTAATGAAAATGTAATGTTTTTTGATAGTGTGTTATGTTTCCAATATGGAGATCATGTCACTAACTGCCATTAGTCTATCTGTTGGCGATTTGGTCAGTGAGTTGTTTCAGTGACCGTTGGTTTCAATGGGAGGATGGATGTAGTAGATAATGCTGATTTATGGTATTACTCCTTTTCCATTGAAATCATTGCTTACGGCTGCTGAGGCTACGCAGTGACAAAATGCGCAAGAGACAGACTGAAGCTAGTGGTTTGTATTTTCACAGACATCCTAAAATATCCGAGAATATTACATTTTCGTCGAAGTAAAAAAAGATAGATTCACTCAAAAAAGTTACCCTTGTATTCTTGCTCCATAGGTAACGGCCTATGGAGTTATCTTTACGTGAAAGCACGTTGTATACTGACACTCGGAACACATACGTCCAGTGTGGAGTATGTCACGCGACTGTTTTGACATGAATTTTTGACTTTCTCTCGTAAATTCCAAGAACCATCAAGGCGTGGAGAAAACCTAACGAAATTTTTTTAAAGAAGATTTTATTCTCTACAAGAAATGAAAGTAGTCTTTATATGCTTAGGCTGTTAGTTTAGTCGTTAAAAGAGAAACAATCATTACATCTACCTTTACTCTTTTTCTCGTAACTTGTCTAGTATACGTCAAATTTTCATAGAAACGGGATGATAAAGAATTAAATTCACTAGAAAATTGTTTCTATTACTTTTTTACATGGGATCGATGGTTTTCGTGATTTATAATCAAACTTGTTTTTCCATATGGCGGAAAATGCTAGCCCTATCATGAGGCCAATTTGAACTTTTCATTAGGACGCAATAATCTAAATTGTCCACAAAAAATGACTGTGGTCAAAATTGTAGCAAAAATTACCTATTTCCGGGCCCAATATGCGCCTGTTTGCTGCCGTTGTCTGTATTCAGGACAAGATCTATGCGGCATTGATGATAATAAGCATGAAACGTACTTGATCATGATCATAGAACTCGTCCAGCCTGCATCGCATACCTTTCAACCTGTCAAGTCCTTCTGAAGCTGGTTCCTGATCTGAATTCATTGTTATAAATGCTAATATTCAATAATAATTACGTTCGAACTTCCGTCATAGGTGTATTATCAAATCAGAAAGAGTCAGTCTACAACTTGATGTGCATTTTCTGCCACAAGGTATGCACACGACTGCAGATCAGTATATAGTTCAGTTGAATAACTATTGTCTTTCCGACCACTTCATTAAACGACAATTAAACTGATCGATGGTTGCCTCATCATTTGTTTATGGCGTGCATGTAGCGGTAGTTACAGTGAGACGAATATAGTAGCAAAGAATCGTTAGGTGACTTAACGAGCTAAACATCCCCGAATCTTTCCAACATAACTAAAAGCATTGACTAATGTATTTTACATACATGTCATGATAGCCAACCTCATGCCATAGTCTGGCGTCCAAAAAGAGATCATGGAAATTACTGGCACATACAAAAAAAAATTTAGAAATATTCTTCACAAAGAGTTAGACTGTTTGTTCCTGCTACTGTCAGATAGATGTGCGCAAGGATCTTTAACACCCTTTTGGTGCCTTTCTAACGCCTATTTTAATTGGCTGTCTTCGGACAGTGATTAAGGTTTGGTATTCACAGTCAAATAGCAGCTGGCTAGACAGATACTTAAATAAAGAAGTACCACAGCTATAAGAGAACTTAGAGACGCTTTGTTATTCCGATTTTTGAGCTGCCTAAGGTTGGTAAAATTGGAAAAAGCCACCGACAGACCAACAGATCATCGCAAATGAGTGGAACGGTTTTTCGTAATGAACATCTCGTATAAGATCCAAACAACATATCTTATTTATTTTCGATATTCTCGCGATTAAAATATTTTTACTTCCTCGCTAGTGGGCGGGGGATGTAAAGTCGAGATTACGCCACATCGTACTTAACTATTTTAGGAAAGGGTCGCTTTGAAGTAAAGTTTTGTCCTTAAAAATTCTTACTCAATACCTTAAATAAGGCCTTTTTATAAATATACCGTGTTCCGGGAATTGGCGAGTAATATCATAGCGATGATTGCAGCTCTATTATCATTTTTATATTACCATTATACTACATTTGGAAGTAAAGTACCTTATGTATAAGCACGAGGCATAGATATTTTAATAATTTTATACATTCTAATTTATCCTCTGATCTAACACGTTAGGCGATAAAAATTGATCGAACGATTGATTGTACTTGAAGTATGGTGTGTATTTTTTATCTTTGATTGCTTGGTAAAACCTATATAACCATATCAGTTCCGATGGTCCTATATTTTTAAACGTTAATATTATAGTGTATCAATATGAAGAAACTTCTGTGTGCGGTTGCCTTACTGTCTGCCCTATGTCTATGCCAGGTAAGAATGACACAATTTAGCTAAGATTATGAAATTATGGATGACTGTTAGTCAGGTATGTACACGTAAACTATCTAATTTCCCAGTGCTACGCAATTCCCAGAGTTTTATTTGCAAATAACGCTATATTACATATATCTGCGAGAAAGTAACTGTATCAATCTTTATTATTTTCAAAAATATCATATTTCTTAGTTGTATACTATCTCTGTTTAGATATTATAATAAAAAAATCATATTCAAAGTATTATGGATACATGTTGCAGGCTTGTAAATAATCTTTGAAAATATGATCATAGTATATCGAAGGCCATACGTTACATTAACTGGACGAAAATTGATGAAATGTATAAATACCAGCCCCTATGTTGGACTTATAGGGTTCTTTGTTCAAAGACATCGTTATATCTAGAAAGCAATTTCATCAGTAGAGGAAATAGGTTTAGAATTATAAGGGTGACTTTGAAGTTGAGTCATTAATTTTCAGATAATGATTGTAGAAGGAAGATAAACCAAAATATGTGTGTAAAAATTAAAAAAAAAAAATAAAAAAAATGTTTACCTTGTTTTATAAAGTATCCTCCCGACAAGCATTTCAGTGCGGACCTGTATTTGATCGTGCGGTCTTGGAGCACCGGCATGCCGTCCCCTGTGAGGTCTTAAGTCACCTGATTCACGAGCCCGTTGTACTATATTAACAAAGGCACGAGGGGTTGATTGCACTCGATTGGGAAACCGATCCTCATAAACATGTGCCATTTTTTATTTCGTTTGAGCCACGCAGCAAACAGCACTATTCACTCACGCGTTACCGACTGACACTGACTGTATACAACTGAATAAAATAATTGTAAAAACATCGTTCCAAATTCTTTCGCTTTTTTGTTTCCGATGCGATGAACCGATAAGGCGGATTATATCCGTTGTTGCCAAACACGAGCACATAATATTATTATTGAGACAGGGCGGTACTCAAACTTCCAAAGGGCTACTTTGTTACTTTAATTTTACCAGAAAAATGGTAAAGGAAAAAACATTTCTTTTGATCAGATCTACTCACTGTTAAAATAAATGACTCAACTTCGAAGTCACCCTGTATAGAGAGACTTTTTCAATCTGACGCCACAGCACATTTCAGAGCACATGTGTTTACAATGCAATCAAATTATGCTGGGTGTTTCACAACTTATCCGACAAATTTTAACCACATATGCACTGTTACGAAAGAAGATGATTTCTCAAAAAACAAATGTAATTAAAGTCCTACAGAAGTTAAGTTATAAACCTGAGTTTCAATAATAAATTGAAAAATAAATATCTGTTTTTGCGTTCATCGTCGTGATATTAGATCACGCATTACATATTTATTGTAGCAAATGTTGTACCAAACAACTGACGAAAACAAAATACCAGGAATTTTTTGTTTTTTGTTCATACTGATAAGAATGTGTAAATAAGATTTAATCTGTATCGTGGGTGATCTGAATGAAGAACGGTCGATTTTTGTGAAGTTAAATAAGAAAGTATTTTGTGAATTTATGTTTTTAGTTACTTGTTAAATAAAAATGACACATGTTTACACTAATGAGAGTGGAAATTGTTTTAGCGTACGGAGAAGCAAAATTCGCGAGCGGCTTCTCGTTTGTATGCACACCGATTTCCGAATAGGCACATACCACAACACGAAACATTTAGTTCAATTGCTTTACGTGCACGAGCTAGTGGAGATTTGCGCCCCAGACGTGGAGTGGATGGTGGTCGGGTTCGCCCACAACGCTTTTTAAATGCCGAAGACGAAATTTTTTTATTATGTTGATTTCTGTAAGACTCTTATTACTTTTTTTCAACTTCTTTCGCAACAGTGCATATCTGGTTAAAATTTGTCGGTGTGAAACATCCTGTATAATTCTCTAGACAGTAGCTTAAAAAAACTAGTTCATTAGGTAGCCAATTAAAAAAAATTGAAAGAAACTCAGCAGTGAATTTTAAGTCTCTTTTGATATATAAGACCATTCATACTCTCACCTCGTCCTATTTATCTCCGCGGTCTCCAAACAACTCGGCAGGCCGTTTTGGCATAGTACTCGTTTCCCGAAATGTCAATTTCATAGTTTGGTTTGCTGAAACGAGGAGATTTTGTATATGGAAATCCTACATTTTGGGTGACAGTATATGTTTTAACGGTATCGTTAGATTATTGATTCCTAAAATGCTTTGATAAACGCGTTTAAACGAGTATCTCGTAAGCTCCCATCCTATCCCAGAAAAAAAATTGTAGGGAATTAACTTCTTTATCATTTTGCCTCTATAAAAAATTGCCGTGTATTCAGTTAAGAGAAATTTGAGGCACATTCAACGATGTTTTCGCGTATAATGGCTTAACTAACAACGTAAGCGAATAAAAAGAGAAGAATAATAGAGAATAAACTTATGAATAAATGAAAAGGGTTGCTGTATTTTTTCAGCATAATGGTGGTTATCGCGATTAGCTGTAGAAGGTGGAGAGTTGTGTCAAAGTCCTCGTGTGGTATGTTTTAAGCGATAAATTCATGTACATGTACGTTCCACTATTGTTTTACAGGAGCAAACATTACTGTACGGTAAAAGTTTTTTGTTCCATTATAACCTCCACTGTTTCTTTGAAGTTAATGAATGCATTTGTTTAAAAATACGAGTAGGAGTAGAATAAAGAAAGAAAAGATAGTGTTTTATGGATTTATTATTGTAAATAGGAAAAAAATGTCGTCCATATTCCACCTAAAATAGGGGCATTATTCCGGTAAAAATTACATTTTTGGTTGCCATCATGAGCTTTTGAGTAACTATTGATGTTATTTGTTACCTCGAACATGATATCAACAGAATCTTCTTCTTCTGCATACGAAGTGGAATTCTGGGTGTCACCAACCCTTGTGCATTTCTCCACCAACCTTATTCTTCTGGATTTTTTGGTAAGCCCATTCAGGTTTGAATCTGCTGGTACGTGCGCAGGGAATAAAAATTCACTACATCCTGGGTCGGTAAAAAGCACTCATGTTTAGTTTGCCGTTTGAGGAAGATCTTATAAAATACTTATACCGTAAATTATTTATTGTGGTGTCTGTGGATTCTCCTCCATACAAGGCATTTAAAAACTTTCCACATTTCCCGTACTTTAAATGAACTCATTACGTTTATCAATCGCTCGTTCATTTGTATTGTAGTGATAAGCTTACGATATGATAGCCTACCTATAAAGGAGATATGCGATGATTGATTGTTTATCACCAGTTTATGCCATTAAAAACAAAATCCCATAGATGAGGCAAACATTCTTCAGTCGATTTTTGATATGGATGAAAAGGTCCCCAAAACAGTGATAGATAATAATATCAACTACGCATAAATTGGTTTTTATTGAAAAATTGAAGCTTTAATATTTGTTCATAAATGAAGGGTTTTCCAATAGTAACGCCCGATGTTTGGCAACACAGTACAGGACGGAGTCGATCATCACACAGATGCTATCTTTGGTAGCCGTATTCAGTTAGTAGCTAGATTTTATTGTGGTGCCTTACACGACTGAGCAATGCGTCGAAATTGCAAAAAATTATTATCAAAACCAATGTTCTATTCGTCAAACATTTCGTGCACTTCGTGCCATTTGTGGTGTCGACCATCCTCCTGCATAATCCAAAATTCGTCGTTTAATAAACAAACTTCAAACAACTGGGTCTGTGGTAGGTCAGAAGTGCCTATTCGAGAATGTGTGCATGAGGATTCGCAATAGTCCACTCCGCGTCGGGCTCAAGAACTTGGCATGTCTTCGGCGACAATTTGGCAATTCCTTCATAAAGACTTACGGCTTTACCCTTATAATGTGCAATTAGCCCAAGAACTAAGGCCAAGGATCATAGGCAGCCGCGTGCATTCGCTAATTGGGCGCTAGAGCAGCTGGAGGTCAAACAATTGCCGAATTTGGGGGAGATATCCCACTACATCTGTGGCTCGGTATAGTGTGCACTGTGTGCAAGTGCCTCTTACTGTCAACAGTGAGCGATACAGGGTTATGATAAGATATTTTTTTGGCCTGTAGTGGATGGAATCGACCTAACAAGCATGTGATTTCGGTAAGACGGCGCTACGTACCATACACTGACACTATTGCATGAGAAATTTGAAGGTTCCATCATATCGCGAAATGGTGACGATAATTGGCCACCCAGATCCCGCGCGTTATTGCTGAAATTGTGCCACTCTTATGCAATAACGTCATCATAAATTGGGTATCCAGGGTTCAACAAACCAGGCAAAGCCGCGGCGGACGTTTACCTGATATAACAAAACATAAAGCTGACACCAGTACTTCATACTAAAACCAAAAATAGATCACTATCATTCTCACAATTCGCTTTATTCCGTTACGAAAATCGAGCGATTCTAATGGAAAACCCTGTATGAGGATGGTATTGAGCGTTTAGTATATGGTGTGTCTCGGAAAAATCATATCACTGTTCTTCAACTTTCGCCTCTTGTCATTCGAGAATCACCGATTTCACGAAAAAAATAAATGAAACCTTTTTTGTAGAAAATGTTATCTCTACCGAAACGGATCGTAGTTTGCATTTGCTTAGGTTGTCAGGTTAACCATTATGTGCAAAAATATCACTAAATGTACCCAAAAGTCCTGTTCATACAGCAGTTGCCAACCTATCAGTGACCGTGTCCAAGATCCCGCCACACAAATTCCCCTCACTTTTCTATACTATACTGGATTTCAAATTCGACCTTCACCATTGGGTATCAGAAACGGTAAGAGGTGCAAAGTCGATCAAATAAGGGGAAAGTTAAGAATTTAGGTAAATAACACGCCGTCGCAAAAATTTCGAAATTCAAAGTACCTACTTCCGAAGAGAGATGAAAAATAAAGGAATTTTCCCAAAATCGGTTTGACTTTTTCCCGACTTTATTATTACCATATTACAAGATGGTGCAGACAAATTTTCTATTCGAGGTGTCTTCTCCGACTTCCATATCCAACTATGCTTTTTCATATGGTCACCATATTGGAATTTTGTACATTTGAACGGTTTCCTGTCCTAGATTCAGTGATGTAATTTCTTTGTTCACCATGACTAATGTTGGAAATGAAATTATAAGGAAATAAAAAGAAAACCTGAACACAAAATGAAAAATCAATGGCAAAGTCTGACTCTTCTCTGTACATTGTAGAGCGCTCAATTTATGATGATTTTGGGATAAATCTGTTTTACTAAACAAATGACTATCTGATAATTTCAAGATCTACCTAGGAAATTCTATTTTTTTAAATAAGTGAGGTTTGGAAATGTCAATGTATGAAATATTATACATTTTTGGAGTCATAACTAAAAACTCTATTTATCTGTGCAAAAATCCTATATGACATCTATAAGACAAAAAGTTGATGGTGGAGGGCAATAAATGAAACGTCATATTGAAATTCTAATCATGCCATTTTGTAGAGGAGAAAAGGGGCAATGTAAATATGAAATTTATTTTGAAATCCTACTACGAATAAAGTCAGGAAAAAATCAAAACGATTTTGAGAAAATTCGGTTTTTTCCGTCTCTCTCCGGAAGTAGGTACTTTGAATTTCGAAATTTTTGCGACGGCGTGTTATTTACCTAAATTCTTAACTTTCCCCTTATTTGATCGACTTTGCACCTCTTACCGTTTCTGAGACCCAATGGTGAAGGTCGAATTTGAAATCCAGTATAGTATAGAAAAGTGAGGGGAATTTCGAAACGAAGCGGCATTTTATTGGTTGCGTAAATAAGCAACTTTGCCTCGATTTAAACGACTTCGAATCTCTTTCAGAGATCCTGATGGTGAGGGTCGAATTTTGAAACACCCGGTATAGACAGAATTTAAACGGTCGGCACGGGTATTACGAAAAGAGAGATTATGCCTATTGTTATTGACATTCTATTGTTTTTTGTGACATTATGTTCGTTTTTCTACAAGATGTTAACTCAGCACTAGCTGACCGACACGTTATGAACTCGTTTTGTAGTTGTACTGTTGCCTAAACATCATGAGGCTTCAGTTGTCAATGTTTGGCTCTGATGTGATGTAAAATTTGCTTCAGAGACGGCATTACTGGAGGTAACGGCAATGCATTGGTGCACAGTGAGGATTTGTGTGCTAATAATGTGTGTTGATGATAGTTCCACTGGATTCTTGTCTCAAATACACTTACTTCAGATTCAAAGTTATAAATTAGTTGCGCATCCACTTTTTCTTATCGGCTCTGGAAACTGCATATGCAAATTTGATGGATTTAAAAAATAAGAGAGATAAGAAATAATTATATCCACTGTACAATGTCGAATTAAAAGTCATATACATGCTAACAGTAATTACATACAACGCGGGCACGGTGATGATTTCCAGTGATTCTGCTCAAAGTTTTTGAAAACACAAGAAAACCTAAAAAATCGTAATTGATAACTTTGAACATAACCTGTCTTCCGAAGGGACAACATATAAATAACCCGTCGGGCCCAGCTAATAGATATACTTCATTGCCAGCACATTCAGTAATGATTTTCTCATACAGCAAATATCACTGATTTTATACACATGCAGACCAATACACACAATCATCCAGATGCGATCTTGCTATTGCAACCAAATAACCAACTTTTTTCTCAGAGACTCAGGGATAAAACTATAGACCGCTCGGCTTCACAAAACATATGGAACCAGCAATGCGTGTATACGTGTAGTTGATCCATTACTCCATAGATGGACGCTAACAACGACCCTATTGAGTAAATGTGGAATGTTTGCACCCTAAAAACTACCTAGTCTGCAAGATGACATCTTATGAGTCTTTTTTACGTTTTATAGGTTTTTTAGACAATACCCGTGCCGGAAATCGATCAGATTACACCTGACTTGAAATATAGTTACGATAACTGGCAGCCATTTTGATGTAGTATTTTTTCTTGTGTGCGAAGGAACTTTTGTAAATAAAAGCGCTTTTGGAGAGTATGAACCGACAGCGTTCAAAGGACCACAACAAAATACGACTCTACAGATCTAGTAATTGTCGATATCAGGTGTCTACTATTATTAATATCACTAGATAAGCAGCTGTTATTTGCTGTTGCGGTTGACGTTATGGATACTCATGAAAATAGTATAGTCTTGTTTCACAATAAACCAATCTGCAGAATATTGACATCATATGGCATCAGGAATGACTATATTCGTTTTAAAAAATGGAATTAGCTAAAAAGTATCAGTAGCTCCTAGCGTTCATCTCCTCAAAATTGATTTGCTTGTTCCAATACCTCTATTTTTTCACAATGTTCTGTTTAATTTGTTTATTAGGCGCGGTGTGACAAGCGTAGCAGTTTTTACGTACATTTTGTCCATCTGGAAACTTACTAGATATTATTCAAAAAAGCTTGAAATAGCATCTGACTCTCTGTACTCGTTACGTGTAATCATGTCATTATTTCAGCTTGATAGGATATACGTGAAAAGCGTACGTATAAAATTTGCACAAAAAACTTATATTTATATCAAAGAATCAAGAATTAACTTGATTTTCATATTGGGCGATTTTCATTTTAAGAAAGTTATAGCTGTTACCGCAAAATGCTAAAGAAATGTAGAGCATCACGAACACCCTTTTGTAACGACCTGTTTGTAAAAATAATTATAATTTGTTTCTAGTCGATTTAATATAGCAATTATTACAGACCTTAATTAAAAATACTATTTACAAGGGTGTTGAGCTATTTCGGTGTACTTGTAGATACAGTGGCTCAAAAACCAATAAACATATTTATTTTGCATTCCAGGCTAGAGCTACAGATAAACTGAAAGTCACTATATACTACGAGACACTGTGCCCAGCGTGCAGGGCTTTTATTTTAACTGACTTGTATCCAGCTTACTCGGAACTCGGGAGTTACCTAGACTTAGAAATGGTCCCTTACCAGTGGGTGAGTTTAACGTATAAGTACTACGATAAACATAAGACTAAATCATCGTGCACCGATTAATAAAAATGAAACACCCAGAGAGCTAACACATTGTTGGAAGAATTGATCTGATGCAAGTAGCAACTGACCTCGACGAATATCGATCATGGAACAAGTCTTCAGGACTTGCAAAACACTTGCATTGAGCTGCAGAATAGATTAAAAATCTGTAAGCTGCTTGAACTGCTTTTTTTGGAAGGCAACTGATTATCTAGAGCCAGATGGAAGCCTCTATCTGAATCCAACAATTTAAGTTGTCGGCTAAGCGCCATCAAGTATTTTAGATGAATGGAGTATAATATAAATCCTCATTTTGAAGCACCTCATACTCATAATCACACACGACAACATTTTGTTCTTTAGTTGTTCAGTATACAAAAACGGTCAATCCGCCCGCCATTTTGGAAAATAGCAAGTTTATCGTCGAGGATGATGAGCTTTGAAATGAGGTGTCACACAACCCCCTACCATTTAAATAAGTTCAAAAATTCTATTATGCATCAATTTGATTACCCGGAATTTCAGCTTGATAGCTGGACCCGTTCAAAAAATAAGTGATGACGTATGTGAAAAGCACTGTATAATTAAAAGTTCTGTCTAGTGGGAAATTTGCTTGAATAAGTCTAGCTCATTATAGTAATTTTCAGTGTCGTGAATCTGAAGGTGAATGGACTTGCATGTGTCAACATGGCAACGACGAATGCCTTGGTAATACGTATGCTAGCTGTGCGTTTGCTAACTACACAACCAAGGTAGCTTTAGAGTTCATGCATTGCGTAGAACAAGAGGTTGCTCCAGACGAACCGATGCCGTTTAAACAAGTAAGTTTTTCTTATCATACAGTTATAAATTTTTTTATTCCACAATCTATTATATACTGTTATTATACAACAATATTACCAAGCTACTAAGAGTCTTAAATATGTGAATATGGACATGCGGACAGGATTACTGATAATCTGCCGTATTTATTCCAGGTACTGATAGGGGATTATACAACAATCACCCGAAATTAGGCATTAAGAAATAAGAGAAAACTATGTAACTCATTTGATTTTTGTCACTTATTCTTCAAGTGAGCATATATAGTAGTCGTAGATAGAGATGGCCAAATCGTTACTATTGGAGATTTGAACTGATGATTTTGATTCCGACCTCGGATCGTTCACGATTATTATTTGGGCTAAGCATCCTCTGCTTTCGCCCGTCAGGCCAAGGGCAGACAACTATGGACAACTGTTTCAAGCTTGGCTACTCATCAGACTGGTCTAGGCTAGGACAAGGAACGAAAGCTTAACAACTATACACTATCATTTCTGTTTCGATAAATATCCTGTTCTGGCATTGCAGTCGATTCCTTAAATTCGTTTACGATCCTGATCCCTTTTGATTCCAGTTGATTTTGAGTCTAGTTACTGTCGATTCCAACTCGGGTTTCTTTTGATTAAGACTTCCACAAGGCCAAAATATTGGTTGAGTATGCAACGGAACGACACTGACACCGTCGGCTGCGATGATGGGAGATTGTCTTACCCAGAACATCGATGCGTTCGATGGTATGCTTTGCAAACAATCAGCAATCGAACCTACCATAATTTGTAGAAAAGTTTGTAGTTGGTGGTGTGAAAAACTTATCCATTACCCACATCTCTATTAAATTACGAAGAAGACCCTATCTATGCATTGTTGCGAAACATTTTCAAAAAATGAAAATACATTAACAGAAGGAACAGCCAGTCTAAGTTTAGTACAGCGTCGCAAACTGTGGTTTTAAACTTTATAGTTATAAGTTGTACCAGATGACTCAAAAGAGCCTCTGAGGATTTTACTTCAACTTTCTACCATTTATGCTCAAAATAGAATATACTCATATATGTTTTTGTTAGTTATGAGTTATTAGCAAAAACATATGATAACACGTCAGTTAAAAAAAATTCTCCAAGTAAGTGGTTCTTTTTTCACTGGATTATTGTTCCTTGCTCCTCGAATTTACAGTACCTAATCCAGCAGTCTAGTGTTCTGTACCAGTTAGTACAGTTTTTCTGCCGGTAATGTTTTAACTTCCTCGGTTTTAGTCTTGGTTTCTCGAAGAATTGATGTCTTTTGTGATGCAGCGTCTTGTTCTCACATAAGACATGTAGGGCTGATTCTGTTCCTTTTCCACATTGTCTGCAGCTGAGGTCTCCATCGTAGATCCCCATTCTGCTCAATTGTTCTTGTGCTCCTCTAACAATATTAGTTATTTTAACAGACACTTTCATGACATTTATTTGACGTAAAGATTTTTCACATAAGCTCTCTTGGTGAACAATACAATGTATCATAGGACAGTTGATGCTGTTTTGTTTCAATAGTCCTGCAAATCCAATTTCAGTCCCTGTCATAGCTCTGGCGCCATCAGTGACAATACAGGAACATTTATCAAATCCCCCGTAGTCTGACACCAACTTATTCACAGCTTCAAAAATATCTGTACCCTTGGTTGTACCATGGATAGGAATAAGGTCAAGCATCTCCTCTGCTACACTGAAGTCGTCTTGAATAGTCGGATAAAAATTACAAGCTGGCTAATGTCAGACAGATCAGTGCTTTCATCCAGGCATAGCGAAAAATATTTACATTTTTCAACCACGTCACGCAATTTTTTGGATACATGTTCATTGATATGGCAATTATTTGATGCGATACTGAGACTGTTTCAAATTTTTCGGCAACTTTTAATTCATTGAATCGTTTCGCCATTTCTATTGCACACTTTTTGATAAGCACTCCATCACTAAAAGGTTTTTTGCTTTGGAAATTTCCAGCGCTATTTTGTAAGAGGCGGCAATTCTGCACTTGTTACCAGAGTCAGATTTTTTGAAATACTTGTTTGTTGTTTTAGTTTTTTCTTGTATTCCGTTATGATAGCCTGCCTCGAGTCCCCTGAATACTGCCGAAACGTTTTTTCGGGTAACGTAGTGCAATATCGTTTCATATTATATTCTTTAGGAACCGATAGTACTTGCATACAAACAATGCACTGAAGTTTATTATTATTGTTTGAGATTAAATATTCTGATTCCCAACGGTCATTATAAACTCGATGTTCGATCGTTATTTTTCGTTTCTGTGAAGACATATTTCACGGAGTATTTTACTTAAAAAGGCTTTAGATTTGCTGTGTACTGAGACACACTAGCACTAGAACAAATCTGCCTGTCCCGCTTGATTCAACCTTCTTATATACGCGCCCGTGGCTTCTCGAATATTCGGGGATGATCGAGAGATCGGTCCAATTTCCAGTAAATTCGCTGCGGCCTGCTATTGGTCGCCAGTGGCGTCACATGTTTATATTTATATACATGTGATGTATACATGACCTGTGAAGCGGGCCGCTGGAAAGGAGTTCGCCGTATGTTGGACAGCCCTGGTCTAGAGTAAAGATTCACCTGCCCCAAAATCACAATGAAACTACTTGGTACTTCAAAGATTGAAATAATTAAGTTGATCAGTTTACTCTATTCGTTCTGTAGGTTCAGAAAATTATGATCCACAGAATCAACTCTTGAAGTATTCAACCATGTTTAGGATAACCGTTTTTTGTATAATGAGAAATCAATGATGTATCCCGCCTAACTAGCATAGTCATTATATGCTGAATTTTATGTTCTTTCAGTGTGCAAAACAAGCAAAAATATCTTATGAAGACTTGAAATATTGTGCAGAAACCGAAGGTTTGGAAATGCTAATAGCTGCTTTCAAGAAAGCCCAGGACTTCAAAGTACCATACCTGCCCTTCAGCTCTTTTAATGACAAGTTCGATAAGTCTGCTGACATTGAAGCCTTCAAGGACTTCAAGAAGGCTGTGTGCAGACGTCTCTCAAACCGTCCTAAAGCGTGTTCTACTGAGTGAAATATATATTTCGCCGTAGAAGCATGCCTCTTGTACGCTGCTATAAATGCACAATAAATGATTCAATGAAAAAATGTGCTTTATTGAGAAACCTGCCACTAGTATATAAAACTACAAATATTTTTTGAATAATCGTTAATATTTAGTTGATCCTGCACATTGAAAATAGTTTTATTATGAATAGAATATGTGGGCACATTTCTAAATATTAGAACTATACTATTATACAGGGTGTCTCACATATCAAAGTTGACTTGTTTAATAGATTCCCCCACTTCTTAATTCCTTATGTTTGCAAATGCTAATTTTTTCACTTACTTGATTGAGACGCGTTTGCAAGTCCAATTTCCCATCAATGTGAGTCCTCAAAACTATCGTTTCGTCTGAAAATATTTCGTTACGCAGCCGTGGTTTGATGTTATAAACAGCTGTAGGCATATAGTTTTGTTGAATTGACTAATGGGCCTGATTAACATCATTTCTGATTCTACCAGTTCAATAGCTTGAAGTAGACCACCAGGAGTTGTGGTGCTAACCAGCGTTTCATGAACGTAGTTGATCATGTAGCCAGATATATTTAGGTCATTTATGAACGAAAAGTTCTGAACCTTGAACCGCACCCATGTTTACGTTATACTCTCCCGACAAGCAGTCATTCACTCTCGTTTTGATCTGACTATTTGACAAAAAGGAAGCAAGCTAGTCTGAAAGAAAGAAAACCTTTAGGAATTTCAAAAGAATGGCGTCAAGTAGGTTGACTCTGCATTTCTCATGCAACGCCGTTATCATTTCATAAAGGATGTTCAGCACCAACTAGGCTCTCTGAGAAAAAAGTCAGCCAAACACGTCCATACAATTAGTCTATAGACTTCTTTCCCTGCGATGGAGAAGTATCTCCAGATATCTCCGCCAGGCACGAGAACTCTTTGAAGGGCCCAGGGCTAAGGATGGACGCTTCTGCCTATCTCTGGATAGAGCCAACCTAAGGTTGCTGGTGGCACCGTTGTCTGGCCATAACACGTTAAGGCGTCACCTGCACGTGCTGGGGGTGGCTGGGGATCCCTTGTGTGAACGCTGCGTAGTAGAAGAAGAGACCTCGGCGCACGTTTTGTGTCGCTGTGAAGCTCTGAGCTACGAGTACTATAGGCAGACTATACTGGGGTCCATTACTTTGGACCCTCAGGACGTCAAGGAGCTTGGACTCAAGGCGATTCTCAACTTCGCTAAAAGGGCGAGGCTTGTGATCTAAGGATTGTAGAGGTGCATAAGGGCCCGCTTGAGCGGCCTATGCACTGGCTCCTTATGGTGGCCGGAATGCCTCTATTTTCAAGATTCATTCATTCATTCTTTCCCTGCTCTATCGATACTACCGTCCATCTGGCAACGCCGCCCACCTCCATACTTCGCCACTTCACGAAACCATTCGACAGCCTCGGCAACACGGCAGCGACGGCACGACACTCATCAATGAGACTAATGACGCCGAGAAAGCCAGAGAGCAGAGACGCATGTCGAAGATATCATGAGAAATATCTAACTAATAGGTGTAGTAAAATTACCAAAGGTCAGGTCTCCCCGGTCAGACGTGGCAGCTTGGTCAGGACATAGGGAACATTATGCAAAGCATAACTGCATTTTCAAGCTATTACTTAAAATACTACGCTTGTATGTAATTGTTTTAACATACTATAGGCTGAGGAGGAAGCTTAAGTCATATGGACAAGAAGGGCCGTATCGTCAGTCGTTCCTACAATTGTAGGACGCCTTTATGGCCTCCCTTGATTGTCATACTCCTTTCTCTCCTTCAAAAATTTCTAGATTGCACCTGTTCTGTGTCAGCGTCAGCGCTCTCCTATCGTGAAGATATGTTTTCTTTTTAAATTGTAGAAATTTTCAGGCTGATAAAACATGATACAAGTCAAAAACATGCACAATAGATATTTGTGACATAACCTCAAAATAGAGCGCTGACACGGAAAAGTAGAAAACTATGACAATCAAGGAGGCCATAAAAGCGTCCTACAATTATAGGAACGACTGACGATACGGGCCTAAACTAAGTCGAGGATCTGAATCAAACCATGATCTCAAAGTTTTGTTCCCACCAACTACTGGTAATGGTATGTATAACATTTAATACTCAAATTAAGCGCACCCTCAGCAATCATACGTGTTTTCTTAGAGCCTTTGATTTACTGTCGTTGAGACTTAGATTATGCGCAATTAACAAATTAATAAATGTTTTTCAGCTCCAAATTTTTTTTTCAAAAATGATCAAGATCCTCTGAATCGCCAAAAAACGGAATTTGAACGACTTTCATTCTTTTTCGTTGTTGTATTTTTCTCTGCTACCACTTCACCGATTTTCACACTCTACAACGTATCAAGTATTAGTTAAGTAAAAAAGCGGTCCATTTCATTCACACTGCTCGAAAACTTGTTTCGACGCAGTACATCGAAAGTATGAAGATTTCAGGAATTTACATCGAGTTAGACCAAGCACAAGTGTTACCTTACATACTATGTCTAGGTACTCATACACATATACCTTGCTAAGAGCAATGTGTACGCCACTGTTTAGAGGAAACTGCAATCAAATCATATATTCATTATGACTGCCATTTTCGAAATAAGTACCAACAGATGTTACAGTGTGAAAACTTGGTTTGGTGGAAATTTCGGGTAATTAGCATCAAATGGTGATTTTGATTAGAGGCAAACAGTTTGGTCCTAACTCTTGTTTTATTACTCCTTCAGGATGTGCTTTACAAACAAGCTAGCTAAGGAAACAGTTTACTCAAAGTAGCATGTTTTTGACACTATAATTATAACGACGAAATGTTTCATACTGTTGAAAAAAAAAAACGGGATATACTCGTAGTTTAAATAATACGGTTTATATATTATTGAAATCCGTCCTAACTTTAGAGCTTCAGAGTGTCAATCAGTACGTTAATATTTATTTCTAATCTCTTCATCTTGAGTGGACGACATCATCTCTGATCCGTCGGCAGCGAGCGTTTTACCAAGGTTAGACTTCAACCAAATACAAGTGTTTACATCGGTATCTTCAAAATGAGAATCAAATGCTTAACAATGTATAAAATACCTTGATTTTAATTACTAATTTCATCATGCTGAGTGGCTGACGTCCTCTGGTTGTAAGATAACCCTCGCAAGAAATTTCTTTATTTCACAACGCCAACGAGCGTATTCCCAAAGTAAGGCTTTAACTCCAATACGGTTACGAAAATCAAAAGTTCGCCTCTTGTTAGCCTGCCTAATGATAAAAGCTGGTTCAAGGTCCATTTCGTGATCTTTAAATTATTTTTTCAAATGCAGTATGCACCAGGAGCTGGTCTTTTCGCTACAGACAGATTTTTTTTACATTATTTAAATCATTCTGAACGAGATTTTTGGTAACTTTACTTGACGGGTTCCCAGTTATAATCGACTCATTATTAGAAATACCGTAAAAGGGGTCATTTTCAGTGATTAAAACTCGGTTAAAATCAATATTTTTAAGGTCGTCAAATATCTAGGTTAAAGCCCGAATATTCCCCTACATTAATCCGAAGAGTGTTTTGGGATATTTTTAGCCTTGCTTGGTATGGTAATATGAGGCGAAACTTTTATTTTGGAAACTTGTACAATGACCAGATAAGGCCTGGACTTAAGTAAATACTATTCACCCCTTTGAAATTCCCCTGTTACGACTTCATGTACAGACAAGGGCTGACCGGTCTCTATCATATCAATGATCAGTCGGTGATATGGCTCTCATCTATCCGTAAACTAGCGGACCGTAATCGTTGGCAATATTGTTAATCTATGACCTCAAATAAATACCTTGTTTTACTAGTCTAACAGCTAAGCAATGCTCTAAGGCTGAGAACCATAACGTAGCCTCAGCTAGTGGCAAAATTATAGCATGGACTTCGGATGAATTATTCCAAAGAATCCTGTATGGATGAATGAATCTATCATCAAGAAAAATCGCGCATATAAGCTGGTATAGTTTTAACGTGTTTATTATTGAGCGAGGTTTGCTAATATATTTCAGGTTTTATAATGCAATATGTCCCCTCATTTGAACTTGTTGGTCATATCCACGTAGAAATTTTACATGTCCGTTATTATTGAACAAAATAGTGACCTTACTTGCAATTATAATAACAATAATAATAATAAACGTCTTTATTATTGACATAAGACATTGACAAAATGGTAAGTGAACATAAGTACATCCAGTGTCAATAAAAGGCGAAGTTCAGTTTGATTAGTACACAGTACCAACAACCTGCTCTTCCACTTAGCCCAGTATCCTCTACGACATATGACATCCGATAAGCCGATAATACATACATGTCACTATAAAAGAGGGACATACCTACACGCTAACAAAAAAAAAATCATTCATTCATTCATGCGGTGCTACTGCTTTTGCAGCAGTTCCTTTTTAAACATGGCTTTGAAGTTATCTATTCTAGAAAATTTTAGTTCCTTCCGGACTGAGTTGTAGACTTTATATATTTGGTATGTGAAGCTCCGTTTGAAGATTGACGTTCTAAACTTGGGTGGCGAAATAAGACCCTTACTTCTTACGTTAATGTTATGAACGTCAGTCCGGTAGGTTATTGGGGTGTTCTGACTAAAATTAATTTATGATAAAAAACAGCAGAGTGGAGGAGCCTACGATTTTCCATATTCAACCAACCTGCATCTTTCAATTTGTGAGATATTCTATGTCTTCTCTGTATACCAAATGCAAGGCGCAAGCATGAGTTTTGAACCAGTTGAACTTTACGTCGATACAGGTTAGTTAAGTGTGGGCCGTAAAGCACATCAGCGTAGTTGAATAAAGATAATACTAAAGTATCACATAGCATGATCTTAAGTTTTAACGAGAGAAATTTCCGGCTACCGTAAATAAATTTCAACGACAAATATGCTCTCTGCATAATTTTGTTGATGTGATACTCAAATCGAAGATTACTATCAATCACAACACCTAAATTTTTTACATTGTCCATTATTTTGAGAGTTACACCATTTATCTCAATTTTAATAAGATTCTCTATAACATTTTTATTTTGTCTAGGTCCAAAAACAATTACGTGAGACTTTGATGGATTTATCAAAAGACAGTGGCGTGTGGCACATTCTACAAGGGAGTTTAGCTCATTATTAATGATCAACGAGAAACGATCCATCAATTGTGGGGGTAAGCTGCAATAGATACAAGGTACAATAGCTACAAGAATAACCAAAGCACAGAATCCATTACATCCATTTAACGTTACTCCGGCACTTAGATTTAATATGTATTTCCGCCACAAAACATACTCTTTCTAGTATATTTATTCAGAATTTACCATGATGCCATATAACCCCACAATATCATAGCTTAATCAACGCCCAGCCACGGTTATAATCCTATTAACTGTTATAAACGCCAAATCCTTGATAATTGTTCTGAATTCATTCAAATTTAAATTACGGACAGTAACAAAAATACACACCACCTATTTTATATTTTTCGAATCGAGATTAGTTTTAAATAGAAGCAAAGTCGTCAAGCGAGGGGTTCGAATCGTTTTGTTCCACAATAAATATAACATACTGAGATTCTGGCATAATTTTAGGAATAATGAAAGCCTAGTAAGCTGTTGTTAAGTAATATGTATAATGTAATAATTTTGGAATATGCAGTTTTGGCTTCAGACTGGCTTGCTGAGGTAGACCAGAAAAATTTGACACGTAGTCTGATATTTCTTATTGAAGTCAGGCAAATTGCTCTTCTCAGTCCTACACAAAAAATAAAATTATGATAATAAGACAGAATCGACCACTGAGCAAAGCGCACAGCTGCCATTAGTTGGAACTGTTCACGTTTAATTGCCCAGTCCACTAGATGGCTGACGATACTGGCTGAAAAGAAGATGTGGTCTACTTGCCATTGAACAAACTAAACATGATGTCTTCGTCCGAAGAAAAAGACAGCCAACCATGGTCAGCATGGTTTACGTCATTGCTAGTCTGGATTATGTTTCACTTTACAGTAATGTCTACTTGGAAGCTCGCATTAGATCCATAAACAAATACTGGGATCAGATATGTCAATCCAGTAATCAAACTATGGATTCTTTCATTAATATTTTAGTGTACCTTTTCTAAACCGATCATTTCACGTTCATTAGATAGATTCACATGATAGAATTAGAATGGCATATATTAAAACATTAAAAATGATGTAGTGATTTTACATGTGTCCTAACCCACTACCAGTCACGTAAATCTATTGTAGCTACCACTGCTATATTTCTATTCCATCAACTACTTCATAAAAGCGAAGTGGATACATTTTAAGTGTAACAGATTTTTAGAAACGTCCAGCCGATCTACCGGTTTAAATAAATTATGATTTCGAGTCATGTAAACGGTCAACCAGAATAGATTACAACCTAATAAATAAGGCCTAGGAATTATTAACCAGGAGAAACTGCGGTTTTTATATCCTAATATAGCTGTGCCGGAGTATATCATGCGAGCCTTCATGCTTAACGTATATATCATGCGAATGAATTAAAATAAAAGCGGATGCTCGTTGTGGTAGCAACAGGGGAGATCAGTTGCTACAATGAGCTTTTTTGCGATAAGCTTTGACATTAATCTCGATTTACTTGGACTTAGACACCTGAGTGGCTTAATGGCTAGATTTTCACATTTATGTATATGGTCCCAAGGAGACATCGCAAGTGTCACACTAGAACAAATTACACAAATGAATAAGATATTAAGTAAATTAGGTACACTCAGTAATGATCAGGCATTAAGGTATGACCGGCGCGAATTTTTTGTAGATCGATAACCACAAAACATGATCAGCAACTAATTAGCGTTCTAGTCAAATCCGCATTTCAACATAAATACGGTGAAGACCATGGACTTATAAACTTTCGTGCCCAATATTCTAGAAACTAGACGATGGATTTGTTTGATATGTTGCATTTAAGATTCACTCATCTTCAATTTTTATTTGTCAAGATTTTTATAAACTTGTTTTATATGAATATTGGAATAATATGGAAAAACATCAAGTTTCTCATATGAGCCCATGATCAGCTTTATATTGTATTTCGGTGTAAATGTTTACGCCTCAAAACTTTCCCCCATGTGTATATTAATACTTATTTCCACATCAAGCGCATGCGCGACGAGACAGAGATGCCGATATCACGCGATCGCAACCTCCAAGAATAAATACGCAACCTTTGAGCGGGTGTTTCCTTCATAAGCCACAGTTCATCAGCAGCAAAATCAGAAAACATTTTGGTCCTTCGAGCTTGGATATACATCAGTGCCGTGAATTCCCTGAGAAAGCGAAATACCTTGCAGGAACAGCCAAATTTAGAAGTGAGGTTGGTTGAGCGTTCCCTTCAGAAATTCCAAGGTACCCTACAAGCTACAAGTTACGTTGAGATAACGCAGTAGGTCCATTCCTTTCATACACTCCATACTTACCAAAGGCCTAGCTAGCTGCATATTCTCATGTATATTCATTCATTTGCTTAATACATATCTCAGTTATCGGTGCATATCACTTATATCTCAATTTACACTTGTGTGGATTACTTTAAGCTTTATACTTACATTTCTCACGAGTACCTTCTTGTGCGTGTCTTCCTTGCTTGCCTTTGGGCATTTTATAAACATGGAAGATTCAACTCTTCGACACCGGATAAGGTCCGTAAACGAGGTGAATTCAATGCACAACTTAAATTGTTCAAAAAATATATTTCTCAGCTAGAGGAGGCGATACAAGATGTTCCTTTGCAGACTTCCTTATCATTGAATTGGAGTTAAGGGTAGAAAATACGAGAAAATGTTTCAAGACTTTGAGCATGTGCAATCTGACATTGAATCTACTTCAGACGATTTCGATTCTCAGTTACAAGAGAGAGAAAACTTTGAATTAGTTTATTACAGCCTTATGTCACCTTGCAAGGAAATAATTTCCAATTATTACACCGTAAACAGTGGCGTATCGGACACGGGTTCTGGTAGATTCCCTGCAGCCCCAGCTATCAATCCTCTCGAAAATACGCATTCTAACCAGTTTAATGTCAAATTACCTGAGACAAAATTGCCCAACTTCTCCGGTAGCTATGAAAATTGGCTATAGTTTAGGGACACGTTTGACTCTCTGATAAACAACAACAGTGCAATAAATGACATCCAACGATATCATTATCTATGTTCAGCTCTAGATGGTGGTGCAGCACAAGTCATAGGATCAATAGAATTTTCAGCGGAAACGTACCACACTGCTTGGGAAACATTAACACAATGCTATAACAATGACTTGCTCATTCAAAACCATGTCAAGTCAATCTTTAACTTAACTATCATGGTGATAGAGTCCGCATCAGATCTACGTAAGATGCTCGATAACTTATCAAAAAACTTACGTTCTCTACAAGCCTTGGGTCAACCTGTTGAGTACTGGGATACTCTTCTTATCTTCGTTTTGAGCCAAAAACTAGACAAAATAACCTCTACGAAGTGGGAGGAAAGAAAGGTTTCTTTGAACTCGGCGAAAAACAAAGTTGTTTCTTTACATCAATTCGAAGCCTTCCTCAAAGGCAGGGCAGGCTTCTTGGAAACGATTTCGCATGGCAGAGAGACTAAAAACACTCATTTATAACAAGCTAGCGCTTCTAGTGATGCAAAAAACTGCATCTTTTGCGACAGGTTTGGACATTTCATACAAAACGGTCACAAATTTACTAGACTTTCTAGCGAAAATCGACTAAAACAGCTGGAAAGTCGTAAATTATGCATGAACTGTTTGCCGGGCACTCACCCACTTAGGAATTGCATGGCAAGTGCTTGCCGAAACGGCCTAATACTTTGCTCCTCAACGACTTCACCACGGATCCTCCGAACACAAATACTTCATCAGCTACTATTCCTAGAAATCCTGTGGTCGGGAGATGCAGTGACAGCCCGTATTACAGTTCTCCTGGACCAGTGCAAACGCTTATTTCAACAGCCGTGGTTTATGTCAAAGACAGGCAGGGCACTTCGCAGTCCCTGCGACTCTTACTAGATTCAGGATCACAGTCCAACTTCATAACACAAGAAACTTGTGAACGCTTAGGATTGTGTACCTTACTTTTCCAAATCTCAGAGTTAGGGATAAATCAAGTAGTCTCTCCTATCAACAAAACCTGCAAGGTTACCTTCGAATCCGCACACACTTCTTACACTGAAACGGTTCATTGCCTGGTACTTCCAACGATAAATCACAACTTACCTAATCAAACCATTGATGTCTTTTCTTTGAACATTCCAGGTAACTTAAATCTTGCTGATCCTACTTACTTCGAAAGATCCAAAGTCGACATGCTGGGAGCCGAAATCTTCTACAATTTGCTTCGCATTGGACAGACACGCCTTGGGAAAAACCTACACACCTTACAGAAAACCGTTCTTGGCTGGGTACTTTCCGGTCCTATTCCTGTTCGTAATGGAATCCTAATCAAACCTCATGCAACTTGACAACAAGTCAAAAAGTCCATAATCTCCTAACCAACTTCTGGGAGGTTGAAGAACCTGTCGTCACAAAGAATCTTCACTTCTCCTCGGAGGAGCAGATCTGTGAATATATTTTCCAAACGACCACTCGCAAAGACGAAAGTGGTCGCTTCATTGTCCGAATTCCTCTTAAACTGGACCCCTTCCACTTAGGGGACTTCAGGGAATGTGCTATAAAAAGGTTCCACTCAATGGAAAATACACTTTCCAAGCAACC